GAGGTCAGATTGGACCTAGGTTCAGCAACCTCAGTACTTGGGTTCTGGCTAGGAAAGAATTCAGAGCCAAGACCCAAACTGTAAGAGAACATTTATTGGGTAAATTACTGAGGTAGAAAAAGTAGTTCCTAGAAGAAATGGGCTTAGGAAACAAGTTCTAGAGGTAAAGCAAGGGCCCTTGGAACTTGGGAGTGAGGAGGGTAATGGTAACGTGCCTAGTGGGTAGCGGGGAGAAGGTGTGGGCATGCATGCTCCCAGGAAGGAGAGGGAGAGGGAGAGGGAGAGGGAGAGGGAGAGGGAGAGTACACTGGGTCCTCTGTCCTAAGAGTTTTAAGGGTGGTGATTTTAGCAAAGTTTCCAGGGGGAAGATCTTAATAGAATATTCAGTAGCTTTCCAGGTGTGTCCTTTCAGGGTTGTGGTCTCCACTGATTGATTGGCTGGCACCCGGGCAGGGTTATTATTCGATGCTGCTGGTCCTGAGGCTGTTTCTGTTGCTTATCTGGGCCTAGAGCTGAAATACAACTTGAGGCTTAGATGTTATCTCTAGAGAAGGAAGGTCAGGGGGTCCAAACCACAAGACCAGCAATATGCTAGGGTAAGAAAGTCACCCTGGAGGGGAGGTCCCACTCTACAATTGATCTTCCGTTGCTAGGCACCCGGGGCTTTCCACCCTAGTGACCTTCTGTACTTGGCTCATCATCCTTGCTCCGCTCACATCTGTCTAATTGCCTCCCACACAAGTAGATTTGGTGTCTGGTAAGGACCTGCTTCCTGATTCAGAGATGGCATATACTTGTGTCCTTGCATGGCAAAGTGGGGAGTGGGCTCTCTGGAGTCTCTTTTATCAGGGCACTAATCCCATCCCTTTGCCCTCTTGCCCTTATCACCTCCCAAAGACCTCACCTCAAAATACCATTACACTGGGGATTAGGTTTCAACATACAAATCTGTGTGTGTGTGTGTGTGTGTGTGTGTGTGTGTGTGTAACAAACATTCAGTCCATTGAATCTTTTTATATGTATCAGACATTTTTACATGTACACACATTCCCACGGTCACATTCCCACGTTAATACATTTAGATCTATGTCATTATTTTAGGTAGCTGAAATGTATTTTGTACATATATTAATACACTACATTTTTATTTTATTGAAATGACACACAAAAAGGTAACATTGAAATGAGTCATACCTTCTTGGTTCTTTTAAAATGAAAACATAAATACAGGGTGGGGCAAAAGTAGGTTTATAGTTGTGAATACTACACAAAAGTTTATTCTTGAATTATTTATTAATTATTGTATTATTTTCCATATGAACAACTGTGAACCTACTTCTGAATAAGTAGTGCATGGTCATTGGCCCCAGTTGTATCTCTTCTTTTCCAAGTTGCTATGATATGTATATTTTGCTCACTAAAAGAGAGAACAAAGCCATAGATCTATAATGCTCAGGGGTAAGAAGCAATACATTAGTAACAGAAGCATCCTGATCTTTAAGACTGGTGAGTGGAGGAAAATGTCTTCAACAGTTTCTCAGATCAGGGAACAAAGGTGTAGGATTAAAATGAAAATTAAAGAAATAATTTGTAAAAGATTATATGGGGTAGGCAGAAAAGCTTCATGCAAAATTCCTTTCTCTAAGGTGCTTTCTCTTATTTAAGGTTGGCCTGTTAAAGAAGAAAGGAGCTGCATGCTTAGAAATGAGGACAAGACCTCAGGTCTTTAAGGTTAACATGGAAAAAGAAACAAGGAGAGAATTCTCCTTAAAAAGACTGCTCTCTATAGAATGTGAGGCTTGATTGCTGAAGGATAAATTAATGTCAAAGGAAGCCTCTTGCATTAGGAGACAAAACTTCATGTACTTAAGGCAAAGGGAAGGGGCGGGGGAGGAAAAATATTTTTTACAAAAAAGAGGAAATAACTTCCAGCGAAATTTCTTACGAGCCCTGCCTCATATTTCAGGCATTTTAACAACTGCCATATGGACCAGGGATTAGGCTTTGGAAGGGAGAGTTAGTATTGCTGGGTGTGGTCACGGGTAACAGGCACAAAGTTACCCAACCGTATATATCTACTGCATGCCACCCCCTCCCAGGATCTGATAATGTCCACGCAGAGATGAAATGACTATTACAGAAGCAATTCCTACTCAGTGGGGATTAGATTTGCAGGCCTCTGAGATCCCTTCCAATATTGAGATCCAATGTTATTAAAAGAAACAACCACGCATAGTCAAATCCCCTTCAGCAGGGCTGACACTGGACATGGGGGTGGGAGTGAAGTGGGGTGGCTCTGTGTGGTGGGGAGGCTATTGGTGGGCGGAGGAGGGGCTGTGGAAATATTTCTAGCAGGCCTCTTCAATCAAAACACTTTAATTTAAAAAAAAATGAGACATATGCAATACTTTCAACAATAAAGAATTTAAATAAAAAAAATGCATTGTGAAGTTCATGGGCATATGGGTGGGAGCAGGGTCGGAGAGCTCCCCTAAGGAGAGAAACAGGAGCCTGCAGGGATATGCTCCCCCAGAATGGTACCGAAGCCCACTTGGTCCCAGGTGTTGGAGGGGACTTGGAACATTTCAAGGAAGATACTTCAAAGCCTGGGGTGCCTTGAGGCATAAGGCCCAGAACAGTAGCCCCTTTTGCCCTAGTGTGAAGGTGTGAAGGCTATACTGCTCTTAAGACTGAAATTGTCACCCTGTTACTGAGGCGTTTAATTGAATACCCCACAACACTTACCACCTACAACTTCTATACTTCATTCCTCTTCCCTCTTCTGTTTTTCTCCATAACATCTGACACCTTCTCCCCTGCCTGGCTCCATACACCATGAGGACAAAGATTTTTGTCTATTTTGTTTGATCTTACAGTTCTAGCATCTAGAATAGGTTCCAGAGAAAGTAGCAGTCACTCAAATATTTGTTGAATGAATAATTTTAAAAAATGAACGAATGAATGAGTCCCATAGGGAAATAGAGAGGTAAGCATGTTCTCCTTCCTTCTTCTGACTCATCAATCAGAAAATTCACTTCTTCCATGGTGCTCAAGCAGAAATCTGAGGAGTGGGGAACAAGCATTCCCCTAAAAAAGTAACGAAGGAAAATATGACAACTTATTTGAAAATATCTCCTCAAACAAGACCATATCAAATAAGGTGGCATTTAAGACTGAGGAAATAGAAGATCAGCTTCATGCAAAATCTTCTAAGTGAAGAACAAAACTCAGGTTTTTAAGATTAACTTAGAACAAAGACACAAAATGAGACAATTTGTGTTAGGAAGGAGGAAATACCTTTACACAAAATTTCATCTTTAAGCAAACCACCTTGGTTTTTAAGACTGGGGTAGGGAATAAAAAGTAAATACTCAGACAAAAGAATAAAATTTAAAAGTCTTGAAGATTAAGGTATAAAAAGATAATATTTATAAGAGAGAGAAAAAAGGAATGAATAAGATTTTAGAAACTAGATAAGTAAAAAGAAAAATTTCCTAGAGCCTTTAGTTCTTTAAAGACAAGCTCTTGGGAGGAAAACAAAATAGAAAAGAATGAGTGAAAATATTTGTGGTGACAAAGGTAGATTTATTTCTCACAACCTCTGCATGGTTTGTGGCCACATACATCCCATCAGTTTAGCTCTGCCATTGAGATTGCTCCTCTCAAACCCTCAAACAACATCTGAGAGATGAATTAAGCATCAGATCAAGTACTGTGTCATATTAAACCTCAGACTGACAAACCAAGCTTGTTGCCAAACCCGGAAAGCCAGCCAGATGAAATGATGATCAGTTTTATTAGATTATTATAGAGGCAAGATTATAATAAAAATATGTAAGAAATAATTTTTAGATCATAAGATTATAATGAAGGGCATCTAAGAAACAATTTTTAGGTCAAATATTTTTAGGTTTAATGTAATTCCTGAAATTACGTTATAACACTGTGCTTCCAATGAGGAAAGCTGAAAATGTTCATTGTATAGAAATGAGAATAATCTATAGTATTTAATATAATTGTGTGTTAGAGAGAACTTTTATCTCATATCATGCTGTTTATCTTTCCTTCAAGACAGATCAATATGGAGGGAAAGACATCGTGTGTTGGGCTGTCATCTAAGGGGATGGTTCCACATAGCCCAGTGGCATCGTTCAGGGCTGGAGTGAGCCAGGAGCCTCAGTGTCTGTGTGGGTTGATCTAGTCCTTTGACAGGTGAGAGCAGGGAGACTGGCTGCTGGAGTGGCAGGTCCACCCTTCAGGCTGGGTATAGGTAAGTGTGCCATCTTCTCCCAGGAGAAGAAATATGAATTCTGTAAGGTTTAATAGTTTGTGTAGTAAGAGGAAAATAAACAGGAACCACCCTTTCTTTCTTGCTAGAACAGGAAAGCAGGTAGAACAAGTCAGAATCTGTGCACGAATTGTGTGTGAGAGAGACAAAGCATGAGTAACTTAATTCACTGTGACCTCTTTCTTGTAACTTGGTGTGACCAGAAGCAGTGACAGAATTTGAGAACATTTGGATGACACGAATCAAGGAATGTGAACTTAGAAAAAAAGGGTTTTATTAATTATAAAGATGTCTTCCCTGCTTTTAAAACTTTTCTCTAAGTTGATTTCATTTCTCTTCTATAATGTGCTATTCATTTGTGAATTTACATTTATTCAATAAACATCTGGGGCAATGTGCTCTGCATTGTTTAGGGCTAAAAATATATAAAGATTTCATTTTATTCTTAAGAACTCAACATTTAGTAGGAGAGTTTGAATATGGCAGACATATATTCAAATAATTACAGCACACAGATTCCTGTGATAAATACTCTAAGGAGAGAAAAATGAAGTGCTCTGGCATGCCAATGACACACCAGTGGCGCTCTAATTATTGACTTTTAGAGGATTACTTAGGACTTAACTAGTGAGCTAGAAGTGCAGAACTAAAAAGACTCAACCAGGGGTGTAGTCTAAATATTAACAAACCAACACTGCCTGGGTCCTGACCATCAATCAGAACGTGTCGGACTCATCAGCTAAGACTCCCAATAGAGTAGAACAAACGTTGGCCAAATATCAGCTACAGTCAACACTGAATACCTACCATAAATCGGGTACTGTCTTAGCAGGGGTTTAGTCTGGTTACTATGATATATGTGAGGCACGGGTTACAAATAATTTTCATTTTTTAGCCAAGTCAAATTGATAGGTAGTGCCCCCTGGATAGCTGAGTTAGGGATTCTAAAGCTGAGTGTAGGCTCCCTGTGAAAGAATGTGGTGACTGATGTGTGCTATGGATGATGAAAGGACAAATTGTAGTACATGTGCCATGTATTTGATGTATTTGCTCACAATTAAATTACAGACACCCCTGTATTCAAGTCCTCCTTCAAGCACGTAGACCCTGTGACTTTGGGCAAGTGGCTTTATCTATCTAGCTTAAACATTCTCACTGTAAGACTGGGGTAGTAATACCTACCTCATAGGGTCATCGTGAGAATTGAAATATGAGAATATATTGGAAGGGTAGTGTGAGCATTCCATTGTATGATGTGGCAGCGTCCATGAAAATATTCTGCCATCTGTGAGATGGAGGTGAGATTCTAGCTTTATTTTGAGGCTAATTGCAGCAGGAGGCAGGAAAGGGAAGAGGAGAAAGATTAAAAGCAGGACACACCTGAGAGTGTCCTGGTGGAGGAGGTTGCAGTGATGGAGCCAGGAGCGGAGACCTGGGAGAAGAGATGTATCTAACAGATTTTTAGGGGGCGATAGTCTGTGTGCCCTGTGATCCTCCCCCTGGTCCCCTTGAATCTTCAGGAAAACTACACAGGTCACAATATGCTTGGTTCACTGTTCTTTGTTGGGGGAAGCTGCTGGTGAACATGGTGGTATTGGTTCCAGGAGGAAGCAGTGAAACCTACTGGGAGGCTCAGGACCAGCAGAAGGGCCAGTGTCCAGGGAATGGTAAATATTAGATGACCAGATTTGATCATGAGCCCATGCAGGGCACTTAGTGATTCCGAGCAACACTTGGGATATCATAAAGGTAATAAGAACCAACAAATATGGGTTTCTGCTGGAAGCTATTGGAAGCTTGGAAGCTTGGGGAAGAAGACTCCCTTGCAGATCAATATAGGAAGAATAGAATCACCACTAAACCAGTATTATATGAAATGCTGAAGGGTACTCTTTAAGAAGAGGAACAAGACCTGACCGATTGGCTCAGTGGATAGAGCGTCGGCCTGCGGACTCAAGGGTCCCAGGTTCGATTCCAGTCAAGGGCATGTACCTTGGTTGCGGGCACATCCCCAGTGGGGAGTGTGCAGGAGGCAGCTGATCGATGTTTCTCTCTTATCGATGTTTCTAACTCCCTATCCCTCGCCCTTCCTCTCTGTAAAAAATCAATAAAACATATTTATAAAAAAAAAAGAAGAGGAAGAAGAAGAAAAAGATAAAGATAAAAATTATGAACAACAAAGTGACAACAAATACATATCTATCAACAAGTGAATCTAAAAATCAAATGAATAAAAAATCTGATGAACAGAATAAACTGTTGAATATAATAGAATCAGGGGCATAGAAAGGGAGTGAACTGACAATTCTCAGGGGGAAGAGGTTGTGGGGGGTGTGGGAAGAGACTGGACAAAAATCGTACACCTATGGACGAGGACAGTGGGGGCGTGGTAAGGGCATGGGGTGGGTGGGAACCAGGTGGAGGGGAGCTATGGGGGAAAAATAAAGAATAGAGGGGGCTCTTCTGCCTCCAGTTGTGATTTTCAGAAGTAGAATTTCTCCTCTTCACAGCAGGCACAGCAGTCTGGCAAGTTAATCCCCAACCACTCTTGTTTCACTTGTTGGAAAGGTAAGTCAAGAAGCCCTGGGGTGGGGTGTGACCTCAGAGGATGTTTAGGCAGTAAAGACACTCATGTTATGCCAAGTAACTTACTAGTAAAAAGGAACTCACAGGTTTTCTTGATGTAAAAGGTAGAGATCCTGATACAGTTGATGGCTGCTTTGAATTTTTCCTTTAATTGGGAGAAAAAAAACGCACATTACATTTGAGAAATGCTGTTCTAAACTCTGGTTCCTGTGTTAAAATGGAAAACAATGTGGGGGGATGGGAGAGATTTCCAGAGAGCAAGTAAAGCAAAAAGGAGGAAAGCTCTGGGAGCCAGGACAGGAGCAAGCCATGCCTTAGCGTCTACTTCCCCCTGAAAAGCATTTGGGCAAAGCTGGGGTGATTATAGGGAGAGTGGAAATGCCACAGAGCGTAGGCACGGAAAGCCGAGGGGCTGGAGATGCCACATCTGTGAGATGTGTACACACTCACACAAGTTTATATGGACACATAGGACTGTGTTTATATACACTGGTGCGTAAGGTGACTACATCATTTAAAGCAAAATTTTAATCAAACCTTAAACTGTACAACTTTATTTTACTTCCACTACATAGGAAGGGGCTCTCCTAGGATATGCCCTTTCACTAAGAAAGTGGGCAGATTTCCCCTTTCCTTCTCTCCCGTGTATCCTGGCTATTTCAGTCCATAGTACCGTCTCCTAGAAATGCAAGTTCTTCTTCTGCAGATAAAATGGACATTTTCTACATCTTGCTCACCTGAAAGGTTCTTTTTTAAAAAAAATCAATTTTCATACCTCAAGAATGTGTTCAAATGAACTAATCTGATCTGAGGCAAACCACCACTGACTTACTGTGACTCCTAGTGTTGCTTCTTCTCCCAGGTGACCTACATAGATGTAAGATAAGATATATTGTGTGTTTTTGCAATATGGAACCTTTATTTTTTAGGTGATTTCTGTACATCTGGAGTATGAGAGTAATCCTTTTACAAATGGGACTGACTACTAGAGGAAACAATGACAAAACCAAGCTGGTGCTTCATGTGAATCCATAGGGGTTTAAGCTCCAAATCTAGCCAAGAAGTTTGTTACAATCTCAGCTTTGCATCTGACTGTTCTGAGATCTTTCCATCAGCCCTGACATTGCTCAACAGGGCTTGGTGTTGGCTGATAACAGGAGACAAGAAAGTATTCTCAAACTTTGTGATCTTGCTGGGCTCCAGTTTATCAAGATACTCCCTTACACCGACATAAATAGCAGTCACTTGTTCTTCAATGGCCATGGGAGAATACTCTGCTTGCTTCAGAACAGACACACACCAAGAGTTATTAAGTGGCAGCATTGAGATCAGAACAGAATTGAGCCCTAACCAGTTTGGCTCAGTGGATAGAGCATCGGCCTGCGGACTGAAAGGTTCTAGGTTTGATTCTGGTCAAGGGCATGTACCTTGGTTGCAGGCACATCCCCAGTAGGGGGTGTGCAGGAGGCAGCTGATCAATGTTTCTCTCTCATCGATGTTTCTACCTCTCTATCCTTTTCCCTTCTTCTCTGTAAAAAATCAATAAAATATATATTTTTAAAAAGAACAGAATTGAGCAAAAGCAGCAACTCCTGATACCAATTCCAGCTTCATGGTACCTGCCACTTGCTTCATGGCTCTGGTTTGGGCAGCAGATACACCTCAGGACATAGACAAACCAATGTTAATGGCAGGGTGGATACTTCCGTAGAACAGTTCTGTTTCCAAGAAGATCTGTCTGTCAGTGATGGAAATGACATTCATTGGATGTAAGCAGACACATTACCAGCTTGTGTTTCTGTGATGGTTAGAGCAGTCAAGGAGCCACCACCAAAAGAATCATTCATTTTGGCTGCTCTTTCTAGCATATGGGAATGCAGGTAGAACACACATGAGGATAGGCCTCACGATCAGGGATTGGCACACAGCAAAAACATCTGGTGATAAGCAACAGCCTGTTTGGATAAGTCGTCATAGATGATCAAAGCATGTTTGCCACTGTCCCTAAAATATTCTCCTACAAAACAGCCAGAATAAGGAGCCAGGTACTGCAGTGGGGCAGCCTCTGAAGCAGTAGCTAAAACCACTATGGTGTACTTCATGGCATCTGCATCTCTAAGACTCTTCACCAACTGGGCAACAGTGGATCTCTTCTGACGAGTAACAGTGTAGATATAGCATAGCTTCTTCTTTTCATCAGACCCATCATTGAAACATTTCTGCTTAATGACTGTGTCAATAGCAATTGATGTTTTGCCAGTCTGTCGGTCACCAATAATCAGCTCACACTGACCACGACCAATGGCATCAAGCTATCCACAGCCTTAATGCCAGTCTGCATTGGTTCCTGCACAGAAACTTGAGGAATGATCACAGGGGCTTTCAGGCCAACTCACCCATGGGTCTTGGAACCAATTGGACCCTTTCCACCAATGGCATGACCAAGGGCATCTGCTACATGACCTAATAGCTCCTCATCAATGGGAACATCCACAATGGCTCCTGTTCGCTTCACAATATTTCCTTCCTTAATTAGTTTATCATCTCTAAACACAACGCTAACATCGTCGGGTTCAATGCCTGAAGAAAACGCTACCATTTCTTCTGCTTGAACATTCCGCAGCCCATGTACTCAGGCAATACCATCACCAATACTTAAGACATGCCCAGTCTCTTCACGGTCAACAGAGGTATATGAGCTCCAAGAATCTGCTCTTCAATAATAGAGAATATCTTGGCAGTGCCAATCTTCTTAAGATGAGTGTTAGAGGCATGGAGATTACTTGCAGCAATGAAGGATGATCCCAAAGCATTTCTGGAGACCAGCCTGGCCTGCTGAGGAAGAGTGCAGGCCACAGCTCTGGCATCGCACATGGACAGCATTTTTCAGCTTCTCAGTAGTTCCTCTGCAGCTGCAGCCTCTAGACTAACTCAGTTTTTAACTGTATCTCCAGAAAAGTGGCAGACAATAGAAATTTTGGGTATCGTAGAAGGCAAAACAACAACAAAACCAAAAAAAAAAACACCTCTACCACCCATTAAATTATTACATTTATTATTAAATTGTAAAAAATTAATAAATTGATATTAAAAAGAAGAGCTAACACTTATAAAACACCTACTAGGTGCCAGGCACTGTTCTCAGTGCTTTGCATGTATCCATTTAATTCTCAGGACAACTCTGTGGAATAAGAACTATTTCATCCCCATTTTGCAGATGAGGAAATTGAGGCAGAGAGGGATTGAGCAACTAGCCCTAGATTTGACAGCTGGGAAACGGTGAAGTTGGGGTTTGAACTCGTGACCTGGCTCTAGTGTCTGTGCTCTGTCAGAGTCAGTGACGTTTTTTCCCTGGGGAAATGGGTGATGGGGATGGCTGTTAAGAGTTTCTTAGATTTCCACAAGATAGTCCTACCTACAGTTTTTCATGGGAATGAGGCAGCTTCCAAGTTGAGAGGCATCTTAGAGCTTTTGTTTTGACACTAAGAAGTTAGGTCACCTTTTTAGAACTCAGTTTTCTCTTCAGTAAAACAAGGAGGATGGATCAGATATCTTCAGCATTCCTGCACTAAAACGCTGTTCTCTTGGTGCCTGTGAGGGAGAAGCAGGTCAGTTTCTGCTTCCTAGACCCTTCAAGCTGGGAGCTGCCGGTAGGGTGTCAAGTACTTAAACTGGTAATCAGAAATTAGGGTTACAGCTCCAGGAAGCCTTGACCTTTTCCTAAGAAAGAAACAGTTGCCTATTGTGTGCTGTGTTTTAAACAGATTATATAATCAATTCTCAGAGTAAACCTGTTAAGTAGATAGTATTGTCTCCATTAAAAAAAAAAAAATGAAGCTGAGCTTTTTCCTTCCAGGGAGCACACCCATGTCTTTCCCTTTCCATCCCCACCCCGCTTCCCCCAACCTTACCATTACCTTCCTCACTCCTAATCTCCAACGGCCCTTCCTTTACCTCTAGACTTGTTTCCTACGCCTTCTTCTAGGAATTACTTTTTCTACCTCTGTAATTTACCCAATAAATGTTCTCTTACAAAAAAAAAAAAAAAAGGCTGAAACTTAGTCATACCAAGTAACTTGCCCAAAGAGGGCCTTGCTAGTAAGGGATGCAGGCAGGATTGAAATCCTGTCTGTCTTGTCTCCAAAGCCCACGGCGCATTTCTCAACACAAGAGTCGGTTATGTCATACCGTTCTCACTGCAAACCTACGTGGTAGGCTTCATCTCCCCACTTCACTGAGGATAAGGTGAGACTCAGGTCACTTGCCAAGTAAGGGGCCTGGCTCCGAGTGGGCGACAGAAGAGCCCGCGGGAGCTTGCAAGTGGGCCGGAGGCCGCCAGCCGGCCCCTCCTCCTGACCTTGACTCGCCGCGCAGCTCCTACCTTTTCGGACCCAGCCCAGCGCACCGTCCTCCCGGAACTACATTTCCCGACAGGACGCGGGCGCGCGCACGCGCACCGGGGCCTCCGCCATGGCGACAGTGCTGTCCAGGGCGCTCAAGCTCCCGGGTAAGGAGTTGCAGCCTCAAGACCACCCCGCCCCCGCCGGGCTTGGGGAGACGGGGAGACGAGTCTCTGCGGGTGAAGCCGGTCGGGGCC